ACGTGGTTCCGTGCGTAGTTTAATTGAAATAATCTGCTAAGAGAATCGCAGGAAAATGCGGTACGGCCAAACAGTTCGATCAAGAAAACACCGATTACCGTAATCGTAAACCCGGCTATACTGCCGATAACATCAGTCCATTCCATGAGTCTCCATTCGCCGAAAAACAGCCCTGATGCAATGATGACGAATGTAGTGAAAAAGACATAGTAAACAGCAGTCACGACGTTAGCGTCGAATATGTCTAAGGACTTGTTAAGGTACCACAGCTGAACGGCAACACAGAGGATCAACAGTAAAAGGGCACAACTGATTAGGCTAGCATGTGCGAGGCCGACCTTCCCGTCGCCATCAATCAACGCTGTCCTGGTCGCGATCGACAAAGCTTTGCACGCTATGACGCCAAGTGATCCTACCGTCGAGCAGATCAGAATGTATACCGTCAGGTTTTTGTCACCATGAACCGGCGCCACGAAAAACACCATCACCAAAATCAAGGTGACTGCAAAGGCAAAATAGTAACAGAAACCTGCAACAAAAATAATTAAATATTCATCTCAAAAGCAGTAAACTACATAGCTTTTCTCACAAGACATTGAGTTAATTACTGAAAGAGATCACCAGTTTTCTCTTCCATATCCAGCTCTAACAAAAAGGTTCATTCGAAAAATCTTTTAAAGGATTACATCGCATATAAAAGTTATCATATATAAGTTGTCCAAAGCTTCATTCTCGATTCGCCTTCACGAAGCGACATATTAGAGATACGATATTACAGTAATTATATCTGTATTTACGTACAAACTTTAGCTCGATAGTGGAAGTTGCTTGATAACTTAGTTCCATACCGACATCTTTATAAATGCACTGGTTTGATTGTACAACCAATGTTTGTTTTATCTCTGTCTTTTAGAAAGTTTCTCTGTCAATATATTCCATTCATACAGTCCCATAATAAGCGGCGTTGTTGTTGTACTGCATGTTGCACCGACGTCGAGTTT